TTGGGTTCTGCACTGGGACAGGGACAGGAACCCAGGAGTGCCCAGAGCTCTGGGTGAGGCCCTTCTGTCCTTCAGACTGGCACTGGAAGGGGGTGGGTGGCTTGGGGGAGGTGGTAAGGGTCAGTTAGTCTGTCATTAAATTTTTAACGTCTGACTCCGGCCAAGCTCTGAGTCCAGTGTGACCCTGCTGGAAAGGCCCTGCATGGAGGCCTGCCTCCCTGGGGCAGAGCAGGTACCCAGCTCTGGGGACCTGGGGACTTCTCCCTCCTTGCTCAGGGGAGGCCTCCGGGCTCTGTCCCTCACACTGCTAAATCTGCCTCCTCCCGCCCTGCAGACTACCTGATCAACGTGATGGACGCCCTGGGCCTGCAGCCGTCCCGCACCCTCCAGAACATCGGGACGCTCTTGAAGGCCAAGCCTGAGGATTACAGGCAGGTCAGCAAGGGTCTGCCGCGCCGCCTCAGCACCACGGTGGCCGCCATGCGGGGTGTGAGCTACTGACCCCACGGCCCATCCGAGGAGAGGCTCGGGGCTGGTGTTCTGGGGGCACCACGGCTCTACAGAGTGGACTCCCCTCAAAATCTGCCAGCAATGAGGCACAGGTTGCTTTAAGAAGACTTGGTTCTTTTGTATAATGAAAAAGGTTGTAAGTAAGAGGTATTTTATTTATTAGAAAGGACTTTTCAGTTGATTTTTTAAAAATGATCTCATTTTAAAAATGAAATTAATAAATGAAATGAAAGAAGTCTGTTTCTTCCCCCAGTGAGTCTTTGAGTGCTGCCCACGGGGTCCGTGCTGAGCAGCGGGCATGTGGCTGTGAGGGGGGTGGAGAGCAGGGAACAAGGCCAAGTGCTGGGGGGAGGCTGCAGGGCGGGTGGGGGCCCCCAGACCTTCAGGGTGCAGCTGTGCAGCAGGGAGCTCTGGGCTGGGCCCTGACGGGGCCCAGGGTCAGCAGGACAAGGCAGAGGGAGGGAGGAAGTTGGATCGGGGGAAGGTGGGCGGCCACATGGGGTCTCGCAGGCCCCGGGAGGATTCTGGCTCTTTCCTTTAGAGGTTTGTGGGGCGATGTGAACTGCATTCATTCTTTTTCTTTTTTCTTTTCTTGTTTTTTGTCAGTTGCTTTCATAACTGGTTAAGATTGTGTTTGGCTTAAAAGTAACAGAAAATAATGTGATTTGAGTGCCTAGAACAAGGAGGAATTGACTTTCCTCAACAAGGAGAAGTCAAAGGCCTTGACTCATTCTGTGCCTGCACAGCCTGGAGCAGGACCAGCAGGGTGATCTCGACCCTTTCCCGGGGCTGGATGCCGCCTCATTGCAGGGACCCCTTACACCTGTGCTCTGGGAAGAGGAAGGCGGGAGGGGCTGCGGAGCAGCAGCGCTCTCTTTCCCATCGTGAGGGCAGGGGCTTTGCCAGCAGCCCTGCCCAGACTTCTCCTGGGCCGCGTTGGCTCTTCCCTGGTTATAAGATGTCTCCCCAGCTGCAAGGGATGCTGGGAAAACAGGAGCAGGACCAGCTTCAACCAGCGTTTCTCAGCCTGGTCCTCCTGATGCTTTGGGCTAAGAGCTCGTCCCTGTGGAGCTGTCCCATGTCTTGCAGGGGTGGGGGGGCAGCCTTAGTGGCCTTCTGAAGATGTCTGGAGAAATTCCCTGAGGGGCACACTCACCGCAGCGTGGGAAACACTTGCTTAGACCGATCAGGAGTTGCTGCTGGGCTGGGCTGATGGCTGCCCTGCACAAAGCCAGGTTTTTCTTGGCAAGGAAAAAGGGAATGGCAGCTATCTGTCACAGGGCCATTTATTGGAATCGAGCACTTCTGGGGCCTCGGGGCCTCGGGGCCTGGCTAAGCTTCACTTCCTTCTGGATTCTCTCAGCTAAGCCTCAGCACAGCTGTGGAAGACAGAGTTATGATCTCTGGTTTGGAGAGGTTTGGGGTCTTCCTGGGATCACTCAACTACCAGAGCTGGGGCTTGGAGTAAGCCTGGTGACAATGGCATTTGTATTTCTGACCCATGCCGTGTGCGGTGAGGGGACCCACTGTGGACACCTGGTCCTGGCGGGTCAGCGTGCTTGTGCCTGCTCTGTAGAGCTGCACCCTGCGCCTCCGCAGGCTTCCAGGGCCAGGGTCCCCTGGGACTGTTCTTGCATCCTTGGAACCAGCCTGACTGCCCAACACAGCACCCGCTGGGAACCCACACTGAGAACAACATTTGGGTTTCTCTCGTGGTGGATCACAGACTGCCCCTGACAGGAGGCAGGCCTGGCTCCTTCCTTGAAGAAGCCAGAGCTGGAAACCTGAAATGTGACTTGTGCTCCTGGAAGATGGAAACTCACCATGGTGACCTTTGTGCTGCTCTATGAGAGCCACAGAAGAGATGTTTGGAATGGTCAGACTTGGGCTGGACGTGGCTTTACCACCTCCCAGCTGTGTGACCTACAGAAAAGAAAGACGTTTCACCTCTCTGTGCCACTTTCCCTAATCTGAAAACCAAGGGTCATAATGGTGCCCAACTGAGGATTATTTGCAAAGCCACTGAGGTACAGTGGAGGCAATGGAGCCCAGTGAGTTCAGGATCCATGCTCATCTTAGTCCTCCAGCGTCTGTGACCTCGCTTCCCTTTTGCATTAGAAGTGAGTCATCGAATGCCATTTTCCAGGCAATTGGGCATTGCCAGCCTGAGTTTTCATTCCTAAGAGGCTCTGGGATGCCCCCAGGGGGACAGCACTTCTCTAGATCCAGGGGATGATGGATGCTTGATGGAGCCTGCCTTCAGCCTGCCTAGCCCCACTGTTCCCCTGAGAGCAAGATGGCAGGATGAGGCCCACCATCAGCCTGGTCCCCACTCACATGCCCACCGGCAGCTCCAGAATATCTCTAAACAGAACCTGTTATGGTGTCTGTCAGGGCTGCCCTCCATAGATCCCCCTGGGGTCCCCTGGCCAGGCAGCACCTCCCGTCCCCTGTCACAGTGATGGGTTCAGGATGAGCGTGTGGCCCAGATGGATCCAACTGAGCTCCTTCCTTGGAGCTCTCACGGGGTGCTGAAGGGGAGGGAGCTCTCTTTCCTCTGTTGCTGAGCTCATGGGGGTGGAGCTGGATTGAGGGACGTAAAGACGTTCTGGAGGAGCAGAACGTGGAGAGAGCCTGTTTAAGGGGACGTCGATGCAGAAACACCAGCTCCAGGGAACCCTGCACGCAGCCATGCTGGGCCTTGCCTACAAGAGCTAATAAATTCCCTTCAAAGCTTAAGCCAGTTCAGATGGACCTGTGACCAAAGGGCTGCAAAAGGAGGTGATGATCAGCACCTGCCTGTCCACAGGTCAGACAAGATGCCGGAGCTCCCATCCGGAAATGATGCTGTCAGGGCCACTGGCACCGGGACAGGCAGGCTGGGATGGCGGCTTTGCCACTTCTCTGATTTCCGTGGTTATGACTGAACACCACAGGCTGTATCATTTATAAAGAATAAAGGTTTATTTAGGTGAAGGTTCTGGAGGCTGGGAAGTTCAAGATCGAGGGGCTTGCGTCTGCTGAGGACCTTCCTGCTGCATCCTGACATGTCAGAGGGCGTCCCATGGCGAGACACAGCAGGTGTGCTGACTCGGGTCTCTCTTCCTCTTCTTACGAAGCTACTAATGCCATCAAGGGGCTCACCCTGATGACTTTAATCCCAGTGACCTTCCATTGGTGCCACCTCTAAGAACCATTAACTGTGAATGTGGGCCAGGCTCTGAAGCCGGAGCTGCTTCAAGACTTGAACCTGGTCGGTGGCAGCAGGGGGCTGCAGCGGTCAGCTGTCTAGACCGTCAGGCCCCCTTCTTTGGTAATTGCTCCCTGATCCCTTCCTGGGGAACCATTAGGTTTGTCAGATTTAGCAATAAAAAATCCAGGATGCTCATTTAAATGTAAATTTCAGAAAAACAACAAATGGTTTATTAGTATATTATAAATATTGCATGGATATACTTATACCTAAAATTATTTTTATATTTATCTGAAATTATAATTTAACTGAGCAGCTTAATTTTTTTCCGGCAACCCTAGGAGCCATTTCCCATTACCTGGGACCAGGTGATTCTGCTGGGGGCCAACCAGGCAGTCAGGTCTGGGCAAATGAATTCAGGTTTGACCAATCAGAGCAGCCTACCCAGCTGGACCACTCATTGGTTCAGAAACAGGCACGTGACCCAGTCAGGGGCCAATGAGCGTCAGCCTGGGGGCTGCAAATGCAAGGAGAGGTGGCCTTGGGGAGCAGAGGGAGACCGAATGGTTTGAGCTGCCTGAGAGTGTCTTGCTTTAACCCATTTCGTCCCACTGTCCTTGATGTGAGATACTACAAAAATCGAAACATAGTATATAATATACAATTATTAATAACATAATCATAATAATATTTAATAGACATGAGCTCTAGACTGTGACTTCTAACCTATTTCAATGCACCTGTGTCAGTTTCACTGAAACATTCACAGAACTGAAAACTTGAGACTTGATGGGTTAAGCTGGTTTGAGTTGCTCTCTCTGTCCTTGTAACCCAAAGAAAGAGTTGGGTGGCATTGTAGCCATTAGCTGTGGTGCACACCTGTGATCCCAGCTGCTCGGGAGGCTGAGGCAGGAGGATCGCGAGTTCAAAGACAACTTCAGCAACTGCAAGGCACTAAGCCACTCAGGGAGACCCTGTCTCTAAATAAAATACACAGTAGGGCTGGGGGTGGGCTCAGTGGTCAAGTGCCCCAAGTTCAATCCCTGCTACCCCCTCTTCCCCCCAAAAAGAAGAAGCCGCTAGGCCTCTGCTTCAGGGAAAGGAACAGCTGGAAAGGAACTATAGGAATCACAAGAGAGAGACGCTCTTGACCTGCTTAAGACCTTGGCTCTCAAGCCAGGATAGACGCCCTTCCTGTCCCAGGCACGCGTGAGGACCTCCGCTGCCCACTAAGACAAAGAACAAAGCTGGACGCAATGTCTTCCACTTTTATTTTGTAGAACGACGCATGTGCCACCTGCAGGCCCCCACTCCTGGTGCTCCCCCTGTCCCCCCCCCGCCACTGCTGCCTTTGCTAAGCCTGTTCACAGAGGTCAGTCAAGGCCAGTGAGGGAAAGGCCACTGATTCTGGGGAACATGGTAGACCCACCTGGTCATCTCTGGGGCAGTGACTGACACTGGGAAGAAAGTGGCCTGACACCAGGAGAGGGGTCTCTAGAGCCAGAGGGCAGGTCAGGTAGGCCCAGGACAGGAAGGGCAGGAGCCAGGTGAGAACCCAGTTCTGGCGTCCTGCACCGTGACCCTGCGGACCCTGCAGCCTGGGCCTGGCAGTGGCTACTGGCCTCTCTACGGAGGGGGCCGGGCCCTGGACACCGGTGGTCCTGGCTCTCTGGAGAGGGCACTATACAGCAAGGCACTGAGCCACGGTCTCAGCTTCTCAGCTTCAAGTACGTGAGCCGCCCGGGGTGGGCAGGGGCAGGGTCTAGATGGCGTCACCCTCACTGTCAGACTCAATGGTGTCCAGCGGCTGCAGACGCAGGGAGTCATAGTTAGGGGGCGGGGTGCCCGGGATGGGCAGTGGCTGCCCGTTGGGGTAGCCCTCGGCCTGGCTGGCGGGGTCGGGCTGGAAGCCAAAGTTGGTGTGGGCCTCCACCAGCTCGGCCACGGTGGGCGGGGGGCTGTCACAGGGAGCCCGGGCCCGCCTCCGCCGCAGGCTCCTGAGGAAGGCCACCAGCCTGATGATGGTGATCCACAGGAAGTCGATGATGATCTCCCCAAACTCGATGAGGCACAGCACGGAGCCCCCCATCCAGAAACCAAACTGGCCGCCCAGGTTGGAGAGCAGCCAGACGATCTGTGGGGAATGGGGCGCTGAGGGCCTGGCTGGGCGGAGAGTGGGCACAAGCTCTTGCCCCTCGCCCAGGCTCAGGGGTTCCTGTGGGGTGCGCAGTTGACTGGGAAGGGAAGGGGACAGGGTGACCACCTCAGCCCAGGGAAATAGCTCAGCTGGCTGTAGGGACCTTCCTGATCTCCACCCTTTGGGGTGTCAGGAGCCTCCCCAAACTCACGTTGTTGGCTGCTGATTCCTCGATGGTGCGATAGTTGAATTCTTGGAAGTAGATGTTGAGCTTGACGATGCCGTTCCTGCAGAGGCAGCAGAAGGGGCTGGGACCCGGGGCTCCCTGCACACCCCGGGTAGGGAAGCCAAGGGGCCACCCGGCCCTCCCCTGCTCTGACTTGCTCATACTGCCAGGAGTGGTGAAGCCAAACCAGACCAAACAGGTCACCTTGTCAGCCTCCCTGCACCGCGGGGCCACAGAGAGTATCTACCCTGTTGGCCCCTGTCCTGCCATCTTCCTGAAGACACTCTGGCCTGGGACAGCCCCAAAGATCAGCTCTGAGCTCCCTTTTCCCCAGGTCTAGGGCGGCCAGGCCACATTCGGTGACCCGCCCACATTCGGTGACCCTGCATAGAGTGCTGAGGAGTTCTGCGGGGATTAGGGCCCCTGGGGCAGGGAAGGTTGGCTGAGAGGGGGTTCCCCCCTATTCATATGTGTTCTTTGCTTCTTATTTGAACAGTCCCTGTTTCTCACTCACTTCCTACACGGACCCCCCTTATCTCTCAGGCACACTGAGGCTCCCTCCCTCCTGTCCCTGAAGGGGAGGGGGCTCTACAGACCCTCATTGCTGTGAGCTCTTTTTGCATCTGTCTCTGGGCTTGAGCATCCTGGTGGTATGGACCTGTGTCTTCCCTGTGCTCAACACACATTTGTGCTGAGCAGGTGGAGAGAGACAGGGGAGGGATGGGGATGAGGGATGGGGGAGGGGCTGATGAAGAGCATGCTTCTCCTCCAGGGGTTGGAAGACCCCAGTCTTCCTGGCTGCCTTCCTCCCTCTTGCCTTCGGGGCTTCCTTCCCTAGCCTTGCTCCTGGATCTGACCCCATCCCCCAGGCCCTGGCTCCTCCCCTTCCCTGCCTTCCCAGCCCGCCCAGGCTTCAGGCTGACCTGCTCACAGTGATGTTGGGGCTCTGGTCCCGCTCCTGAGACAGCACGTGGAGAATCCAGTCCTAGAACCCAAGAAGGCAACTAAGAACATGGTGCTCACACCTCACATTCCCCCATCGCGGTCCATGGTCCATCCTGGTCCATGGTCCATCGCGGTCCGCTGCACCTTCCTGAAGCCCCCAGGGACCGCAGGAAGGGGCTGTAGGAGGAGGCCGCGGGGGAAGCTGCGGCTGCTGTTGGCAGGAGGGGAGCTCGGGGCTCCAGCCTCTTCTGGACAGGCCTGGCCAGAATGGACCTTGTCCCAGGTCCATTCCCACCTCTTGAACTTGCCGTCCCCTCTGCCTGGGCTCCTCTGGCTCTGCCCACCGCTGGCTCAGCCTCTGGGTTTCAGCTCAGATGTCGCCTTTGTAGAGGGGCGTCCCTGACCCCTCTGGGTGCTCTCCTGCTTACTCCCTCACAGCCACCGTTGACCTTGAACGTGATCTTACTTCTGTGTACGTGATAGACAGTAAGCTCCACGAGGGCAGGACCCTCGGGCCCATCTCATCCTCTGCAGTGTCCCCGGCCCGGTGCCTGGGGAATGTCAGTGGGAGAGCCGAAGGGAGGGAGGGAAGGAGGAAAATACCACCCCCCAAAGATTGGGACCTGTCAGCCCAAAGATGGGGACCAGGAGTGTGGCCACTCCCACCGTCTCACCTCGGAGGCCTCAGAAGGCCAGTCGGCCATGGAGATAGTCATCTTGTACTGGGTGTCACTGGAAAAGAGAAGCAGCCCTGTTGCTGTCCTGCCAACATCGGCCGCCCTCCCTGCTGGCCCACGGCAGTGCCCACGTCCCCTCGCCACACTCACTTGCAGGACTCCTTGCACATGCTGATGCACGTCTCTCTCAGGGCCACGCTCATCCGCAGGTCTAGGTAGCAGTGGGCTGGGCGGGAGAGAGGAATGGCCAATAGGGGTGGGCGGACGGTGGTCTAGGGGTCCACCCTTCACCCTGTTCTGCCCTCCTGGCCCAGGGCCACCCGAGGCCTGGGGTTAGATGGGGATGTGGTGTCTCAACCCACGCTCTCTGGTCATGGGGAATCATTGCCACCCCGACTCCAGCCACCTCCAGCCATTTTGCCGCAGCCTAACCCTGGGATGCTTCCCTCGGGTGCCCTAGACCCAGCTCAGGACCCCCTGGGGAGCCCTCTCCATCTCTGCCCATGGATGGGGTTTTCTCCCCAGCCCTGTTTTGTATTTTATTTAGAGACAGGGTCTCGCTGAGCTGCTCGGCACCTTGCTTTGGCTGAGGCTGGCTTTGAACTCACGATCCTCCTGCCCCAGCTTCTTGAGAGGCTGAGGATTACAGGTGTGGGCCACTGTGTTCATGTTTGTTTTAAGAGGTGGCGGGACCCCTGCTTGTTGGATTCCAGGCCACCAGGGCTTTCAGGCCTGGGTTCTAGCTCTGTGGGAGCCCAGCAGGGGCTCCTTGTCCTTGGAGGACATCACCATCAGGACTCTATCACTTTCTCCTCGGGCCCAGCATGCCACAGAGAGACCCAGCGATGCCACTCAGACATGGACACACCCACCGAGCACCACACACGGCCTTGTGCACACGTGTGCATCCAAGCCAGGATGCACGACGAAGACACTGGAAGCCACCTGTGCCCGAGCACAGCACTCACAGACAGGTCCTGTCATCCCCAAGTGCTCCGGCACACTCAGGTGCAAACACAGACATGCCCTTGCACACGTGCATTGGAAAACACAACCACACACACACCGTGCTGTCTCCCGGGCCCATTCCCAGGCTCATGCCTGTGCTGGCATTTGTGTGGCACACAGACACATGCCCTGGAGGACAGATGGACTCCCGCTCCTATGTGTTTCAAGCAGGCACTTCATGGAGTCGGGGAGACAGGGCTGAGTTCCTGCAGACAGGCCTGGGATGGGTGGTAGGAGACTGTGGACAGAGGAGGGGCCGCCCTGGCACACCCCAGGGCCCTGCTCAGGGCACCCAGCTCTCCTCTCTGCTCTGTGGGTAGTGGCCCCAGAGGTCGTGAACCTGCACTCACCCCAGTCTGGGAAATCCTGGTTGTTGCAGTATCTCTCCCCCCGGGGCAGTGGGTACAGGTAGTGGCCGCAGCTGCAGTTATGGATCATGTGGTCTTGGAAGCAGGAGTGGAGACAGGCCTGGAGGTTGGGGAGGGAACACAGACCTGGCTAGTGATGTCCCCACTCTGGTGGCAGAAGAAGGACCCCAAGAATTCAACACCCAGGTCAAGGGAGCTGGGGGCCCGGAGAGATGCCCTTTGGCCTAAGATGCAGGCTTGAGATGACCAAGTTGTGGTGACGGACCCTGTCATTGGGGTGTGGCCGTCCTTCCTCCTTGGGCCACATAGCAGATCACTGAACCCCACAGAGAGACCAGACAAGGCCCCCGAAGTCCAGGTCTCTCCATAGATGGCACCCCATAAATGACACAGCAGAAGTGGCTTGTCCCAAACCATAATGCTCACACCTAGGGCACCACCTCTCCTCCTCAGGTGCCAGGGCCCTTCCAAGCTCTCTGTATCCAGGGACCCAGAGGGCAGCTTGAGGAAGCCAGGCGAGCCGGCCTGAGCACCTTCCTCCTGGGGGAAGAGCCAGGGAGAGCCGGAGAAGGACCTCTGATCGCCCAGAACAGGAAGAGAATGGGCAGCTGCTCTGCAGAGTGTCCCCTGGTGGGGAGCGAGAAGAGGGCACACGGCGCACCCTGCCCTGGGGCTGGATGTGGTGAGTCTCCACTCACTGGGCCCCAGCACGCCGTGGGGTGTTCAGGTCATTCTGACCTGGCTTCAGCCCACTCAGGGACCGACCATGTGTCCTAGGGCAAGTGATTAACCTCAGCCTCGGTTTACTCACGGGGAAACAGGGTGACAGTCACCCCTGCCTCCCGGGGTCCAGAGGATTCCGCATAGCATCAGGCCCTTAGTCAGCGGCTGTCCACTGTCCTGATTGCCATCTCCCGTGGACTCTTGGCTCCAACCCTGCTCCTCTGTGCCCTCCTCTCCTGCTCCCCCAGGTCACTGTGTGGCCTTCCTCTCTTCCTGAGGGGCTTGTGGGGTCCCTGCAGGCAGGGGGTGGGACTGACAGCAGAGTCAATGGCATGGCCAGGAGGACCTGGAGCCTGGCCCAGAGGAGGCCATGGGGTCAGGCTGGGCGCCCTGACTCCGGTGAGAGTCTTGGAGGAGCTGGTTTCCCAGGAACGAGGCCTCCAGGGCTGGGGCCTCCTCCTCCATTTTCCCACTTCCCCTTGCTGCCTGCCTGTCTGTCCAGCCTGTCTGTCCAGCCCTTCAGAGACTCAGAAGATTCCCAGAGCTGCCCACAGCAGACCAAAGGAGGCCCAGCCAGCCAGCTTGAGTGTGCAGTGAGACAGCTGGGCAAGTGGGCAGTGGCGGGGGGTCGATTTCCTAAGGGAAAACACTAAATGTGGGTTTCCCAGACTTGGAGGCAGGCACAGGGCTGCCCCTTGTTGGACTCCATTTCTTTTCTGTCAACACAGACAGGGACGGAGGTGGAGACCAGGTCAAGAAAGAAACCTCCAGCTGCAGCGAGGGAGGCTGAGGGCAGATATAAAGAGGGACGTCCCAGGTAAACGGATGAGGTGTTCAGATTGGGGTCTGTAAATCCAAATGTCCCCATTCCGCCATCTTGAAACGGGAATAATAGTTTCTACATCCTAGGGTGGTTGTGAGGATTAAATGAGGTAAAGCATGTGAACTACTTGCAACAGCGCCTGCCTCACACGTGATAAGCCAACTCATTAACATATTACTAAAGGCTATTAGTACTCTACTTTTGCCTGGGAGGCTTGAAGGGATCAGATGATGATATGATGCATGCAAATCACACAGTTGAGAGCTCGGTAATGATCCTAATTGTTTTTTTTTTCCCCTCTTGGGAGACCCCAGAGCAAGATCCTTTCTAATCTTGGGTTCCCAAGGGCACATCTGCCCAACTGGGGACTTGCAGATAGCCCGCCCTGGGCCCTGGTGAGAACCCAGGAACTGTGCCTGTGGCTACCTACAAAAATCCAGCCCAGCCAGCCTTGCCGGGCCCTCTCTCAGAGACCTGAGGCCTGCGGTCGGGAGACGTGGACAGGGACAGGGGCCCCAAGGTCCAGGGTCCTGCGCAACCTGCCCACCTGGATGGAGTAGGTCGTATTGTAGTCGCTGTAGAGATTTTGGACCGCGACGTCGGAGCCGTTCACAGTGCACGGGCTGTAGGGCTCGCCCATGCGCTGCAGCTTGTCCTGGGGCAAGAGAGGTTGCTCAAGAGGACCCCTGATCACCCCTGAAGGCCCCCTCTGTACGTCCCGCCCAACAAACTCGGGGGATGCTGAATGGGGCAGGGGAGCTGTAGTACCCGCAGGCGCCAGAGGGGGCGCCAGAGGGCTCAGCCTTCGCCAGAGCGGGGCTCGCTGCAGGGTTCCCCCAGGGTCCGGGGGCCTGGGAGGCAGGGCCAGGGCTGGGGCCCCGGATCCCCTCCTCTGGGCCAGGTTGGCCCTGAGCAGGTGGGCTTCCACCCTCAGCCGCCCTCGGGCTGCGCTTGCGCTCCAGCTGTACCACCAGCACGCCGATGGAGGTCTCTGTCCCCGTCATGGCATAGATGCCCTCCTCTCGGATAAAGGGGTACGTCCTCTGCTCGTGAAGCAGCAGCCGGGCCCCGGCCGTGGATGCGAGGAAGGGGACATAGTCCTCCTGGCCTATGTCCAGCACCAACTTCAGACCTGTGGGGAAGTTGGGGTGAGGGGATGCCCACCAGCCCCTTGTCCAAGCCCCCTGCGGCAAGGGGTGCCCCAGGGCCTGCCGAGGAGCCGGCAAAATCCAGACCCCAGATCGCCCATCGTCCCCTCCTAGGGCTGTTCCTGGCCTCTGCCCCCATAATCTTTTCTGCACGACAGGTAGATCTTGGAGACACAGCACCACCCACCCAGCCACCCCACCCTGTGCCCTCTCACCCAGGTCCTCATTCTCCCCATTCAGGGCCTCTGAGCTCCCAGCTCCTTCCTGCTCTGGAGGCTGCCGGCCTCACCCTTCACCTGAACCTCCTGCTCTTGCTTCAGATCAAAGCCCCGTGTCTCTTCCTGCAGAAGTGACTGTCCACACCAGGTCTCAGGGGCTTCCCTAGCTCTGAAACTCTCCTTCCAGGCATCGCTCGTGTGATTCTGTCTTCCTTCCCCACCGGCCCTTCTTGGGGAATCAGACCCAACCTCTGTGCCCCTTAGTCCTGGGCTAGGTGGGCACTGGAGCGAGTCCCAGGGCTTAGGACAAAAAGGGCTGGCATGGCCTGAGCCCGGCCCCATGCTCAGAGCAGTGTGAAGTGCTTTAGGGACCCGATGCTGTTGGATGCTCCTGGGAGGCCCAGGAGATGGGCACTGTCATTATTCCCACTTAGAAGAGCAAACAAGGCACAGAGAGGTGAAGGGACCGGTCCCAGATCACTCATGAAGGAGGCGGGGCTGCTGGGTCCTCACCCAGGCTGCTGGCTCCTTGTTGTGATGCTCTGCCCCATGAAGCAAGGGGTCCCTGGAGGGCAGTGCTTTAAGGAACGGGGTCACTGACCCCCTCTTGGCTAATAGCCCTGATGGTCACTGAATGATGACCTGCTTCTTGGTGGTAGGGGGGAGGTCACAGTCTGGGCGGTGGGAGAAGGATTGGCTCCCACCTGGGTCCAGCTCACAAGCCTGAAAACCACAGCCTGCCAGCCTTGCCCTGGGGGACAGGCCACTGCGTTGGCCCCAGGGAAAAGGCGCCTAGGGTCAGCCATTCTGTCCTTCCTTGCTTCCTTTAGTCCTCCGCGCCCTGTCTCTGGGGTTCTCTAAGCAGTGGGTAGGAGAGGCCAAGTGCATGCCCTGGACTAATGGGTGGTCTCGGGGAAGCTGTCCAAAGGCTTCTCAAGAGTCAGTCCCCTGCGCACGTGCAGCATTTTCTGCTTCCCAGGCCTGGCCAAGCAGTTCACCGCAGGGTGACAGAGTGACTCACAAGGTGACCTCTCTGTGCGGTGCTACCAAGAGCCTCTTCTCCCAATGAAGAGATCCTGAGCTCAGGATCACCCAGGGAGTGAGGGGTGGAGCTGGGATTCTACCCGGCCTGGAGCTTGACCTTGAAGCTGCACCACGTCCCCAGCCTCACCTTGCCGGGCTGCAAAACGGGACACCAGCCCCTCCCCCAGGGTCAGCGTGGGGAGGGGAGGGGCTGAGAAGGCGCCTGGCCCCGCCTCTCCAGCCCCCAGGCAAACAGCAGGCGCTCCATTATGGCCACGCCTCTCTGCGCTAGCCCAGGTCTAACCCTGAGCTCCGGGGCCAACCACAGGGGGCCCTTCCAGCCCTGCGGGGCAGAGGGCTTAGAGCCTCCTGGATCTGGCCTCTGGATCCAGAACCAGGACTCACCAAATTCACTCCCGGGGTTGGCAGAGGGGAGCGCCTTCTCCGTCATGCCCCAGTTGAAGATGTAGCAGTTGCCGTAGTAGGGGTAGAAGATGGCCGTGAAGTTCCTGAGAGAAGAGCCACCGGCTGGGGGAGGCACCGGCAGAGCCTCCCCAGCCTGCAGAGGGGATCCCACCACCACGGCCCGCCCTCCCTGCGTTGCTCAGAGAGGCTCAGAAAGGGAGAGATGAGCAACAGGCCATTCTGTCCATCCCCCTGCAGAAACCAGAGAGAGGCAACTCCCAGGATCCCTTGGGAAAGAGGGAGGAAGGGAGTCTCAGGAATTGGGGGACAGGCTCCCTGGTTTAGCCATGAGTTATGAAAAAGAACTTTCTTAGACGTTTGCATCTGGTCTCTTTAGACACCTCCAAAAAGACGTGTCCACATCCTAACCCCCGGAGCCTCTGGATGAGACCTTACTTGGAGAAAGGGTCTTTGCAGATATAACCCAAAATCTTGAGAGGACGTTATCTGAGGGGATTCAGGTTGGCCCTAGAGGAGAATCTCTGATACAGAGAAGCCCACCATAAATGCTTTAAAAATACTTAAATACTTTAAAAAAACGTTGGTTTTTATATTGTTCTTTTATATTTATTCAAAACAAATATAAGCTGGGGTGCAGCTTGGCACATCTGTGATCCCAGCAACTAGGGAGGCTGAGGCATGAGGATGGCAAGTTTGAGGCCAGCCTCAGCAATTTAGTGAGATCCTGTCTCAAAACAAACAAACAAAAAAAAAGGTGGGGGGATAAGTACAGGAAATCATGTTAAAAATTAACCGCTGTGCAGAACTGTCTATTAAGCCTTATATTCTGCAACACTTATTGAGCAACTTCCCACGGGCCAGGCCCATGCTGAATGTTTCTGCACACACAATCTCACTTCATCCTCAAAATAACCTCATAAAGTCAAGGGCTATTTTCACTGATTTTCCCGATAAGGAAGCCATTTCCTGATTCTTTCATCTCAGCCTCTGGGTCAGCAGAATGAGGTGGGTCCAGCCCAGGCCGCTGAGAAATCAGATCTGGGAACTGTCCTGGGCTGGCTCTGCCATGTCTGACAGAGCTGAGCTGCTTTCTCTGCCTCTGAGAGGAAGAAACCACATTTTTTCACTCAACAAACATTGACTGAGGTGGGTCCCGGGCTAAGGCAGTGAGGAGAACTGGATAGGGCTGGCCTGAGAAGCGCCTCCCACCCAGACCCCCGCCAAAGCCTCTGTGTGGTGTCCCCACCGCCCGCCTTGCTGCCTGCCAACAGTCAGGGCCCCTTGTGGACAACTGTCAATCAGACAAGCCACGCCCCTGCTCAGCCTTCCCTCGCTGCTCTGGGAGTAAGATGCACACTCCAGCCTTGGGTTTCTACACTCCTCCACCAGATGTTCCCAACCCCAGCCCCTTTGCACCTGCTCTTCCTCATGGTTCAAATCCCACCTGCTCTGAGAACTCCCATGGCCCCTCCCTAATGCCAAGTGACAGAGGTGGACCATCAGTTCCTAGAAGCTCAGCTCTGACAGATCATAACCCACCTCCCCGCCTCCCTCATCCCCGCCTCTTGATTTCCCCGATGGAAGGCACCCGAGTGTGACATCATCTTGCTCACTTGTCATCTGCCTCCCTTCTGCTTGGGCTGTGAGCCCAGTTTGGACGTGTGACCTTGTATCTGAAGTTGGGCAGCTCAAGGTCAAGAGCCGGGTCCTGAAGCTGTCTGACCTGGAACTCTGTCCGTTAGCAGCCGGTGAGCTCGGGGACTTCAATGCTCTGTGTCTCACTTTCCATGTCTCTTACTATGTCCCCAGGATAGTGGCAGCAGCCACCCTGTGGGACTGAGGTGTTAGACGCCTAACAACGTGTGTGTGTGTGTGTGTGTGTGTGTGTGTGGCTGTTACAGCTGACATCGCTGTGCCCGGGGCCTGACACAGGACACAGACACCTAGTAAATATTTGTTGAATAAACTGTGATGTGTGATAAGGGCATCGCGGAGATAAGTGCGGAGGAGGGACACCCAATTCCCCGTGGGGAGAGGGGACTGACAGACGCAGCCAGTGGAGGTGGCAAGGCCTAGGGACAGGGAGGGGACAGGGCCGTCAGGCAGGGGCACCGCTTGGGCAAAGCCTGGGGGGAAGGAAAAGCTATGGGTGGCCCCTGGACACAGGGTGGGATCCGGGCTGTGGCCACAGGGGAGAGGACGACAGGACAAACCAGCCAACGCCAGGCGGCTGACCCCGCCCCGGCCACCGGACACAGCGTTCCCAAGGAGCTGCTGTGGGCAGATGCAGCCTGGAGGAGAGGCCGCCCCTGGGGTGCGGCCAGGTCCTTCCTGCCCCGGCCTCGTGGTGGGTTTTCTCCTCGGTGCCAACTATTTGCTTGTTGATCATGCTCTTGGCCCTGAGAGGCTGCTCCCAGCACCGGTCCCCTCTGGTTCCAGAGCTTTCCCTCCAAAACCCTCTCTTGGGACAGGAACCTAGTGTGCAGAGGGACACCAGCAGGTCTCCAGAAGAGGCAGGGAGAGACCGTGTGCAGGCGTTGCCTGAAGTTCCAGCTCCTAGGGAGGCTGAGGCAGGAGGATCGCCAGAGCCCAGGAGCTCCAGGTTAACCTGGGAAACACAGCCAGACACCCCCCCGCCCCCCGAAAAAAAAATCCCAAAACTAGGAAATGGACCATCTCAGCCGGAAGCAGTATAACAACGGGGGTACTGTGTGGTTGGAAGTCAGCTGATCCCTGAAGCAATAAAAAAAATTTTAAAGGTGTATCAATGCCCAGATCCTATGTTCTAAATACCATGCTCAAATAAAAGGACACAGGGGTCCTTGGAGAAATGGCTCAGGCACCTTGTGACGTCAGAAGGTAAGGAAGTGCCGAAAATAATTTTTTTTTTTTGGAAGATTGGGATATATCAAAGGATGCAGGAGGTAACTGGAGGCGCTCTCAGTGGCCAAAGCTGAAAGAATGTAAGCAAAAATAAATAATGACGTGTGGAACCAGAGCCTAAATATGTAGGCAGGCGTTCATTTTGGTATAATTAAATGTTTGAATGAATAAATAGAGAAGAAAAAATATAAATCTCTCTTTTTATACAGGAGATTGAACCCAGGGGTGCTTTACCAGTGAGCTACGTCCCTCGTCCTTTTCATTTTTATTTTTTTAATTTTGAGACTGGGCCTCACTAAGTTGCTGAGGCTGGCCTTGAACTTGTGATCCTCCTGCCTCAGCCTCCCGAGTAGCTGGGATCACAGGCATCCACCGTGGGGCCTGGCAGAAATCAATCTTTCTTAGAGGAAAAATTCCAGATCATATCTATGCGTCTCTCCAGGAGAGGTGGAGCTCGATTCTCTCTGTCCCTGTCCACCTGTCCTCGTCCCCAGAGTGTAGGCTGGACTTCGTGATGCCCTGCCAGAGTGCCCAGGGAGGGGAACGTGGTTCCTCTCCTGTGGAAGCTGGTGTGACCCCAGAGCTGAGGGTGCTCATCCTGGGCGACGCACAGAGAAGCAAACTGCCCAGAACAGGTTTCCCCACCCCGACGGCTGCTCAGGGTCCAACTGTGGCTTGACTACCCCTAAGACCACGGTACTATGCCCCAGAGAGAGAGAGGTCGGGTCACAGTGAGGGCGGAGGGTCACGCCGTTGGAGCCCAGCGTTGGCAAAGGCAGAAGGACATGCTCCCGGGCCACCTTCGAGGGCCGAGTGGGGAAGGCCCGGGTCCGGTCAGCTCTGGAGAGAGACAACCCAGAGACAGGTTGGGGGAAATTTCTGGGCCAGGCTGGCTGGGGGGTGCCTTTCACGCAGAGGGCTGACCGGGAGGGAAGAGAACGGATTTTCCTTTCCAACGAGTAGCAGAGTGACGTGGGGTGGGCCTGGCCCTGGGCTTCCCGCTCTGCCACTGCCCAGCTGTGTGACCTCAGAGAGGTTACTTAAACTCTCTGGGCCTCAGTTTCATCCTCTATAAAGTGGAGGATGGGGAAATAACAGGGCGTTTCTCAGGGGCTTCTAGACATAGGGTTAAAGCAGTTTTATACTGTGAAGCGCTTACAGTAGAGCATAAGAGGGCCCCATAGATGCCAATGATTTGAAGTCCTTGTCACACACGGGTTTAGCAATAGTCGTGACTTGTTGGAATCTGGCCTGCAGCCTGCTAGCCAAGTGGTAGCCTGCAAGGCGGCCTGCGGCCCCTGGTTTATTCCACCTGGGGGTCCCCCAGCAAGTTCCCCCGAGGCCGGCCTCCCTGCCTCCAGCCCCTGCCATGGGTGAGGCTCAGCCTGTGACGGTGAGGCTGAGCCTGGCACCTTGGCCCAGGCACCACCTAACCCCCTGCAGCCCTAACCCAAGCACCCCCAGAGCAGGGGACAGCGGGGTGGCTGGGCGGCTCACCGGTGGCTGCAGGGCTCCGTCCCGAACAGGCAGGCCAGGATCATCCGCTGGGCCGAGTAGCCCATGGCCACCAGCTCCTGGCGCGGCACCTGCGAGAAGATGTTGGTGGCCTGCAGCACGTACCACTCGGTCACGGCCTGGGTGGCGCTGGTGAAGTTCCAGAAGGCGCACGCGGTCCCGTTGAGGCTGCACTGTGGGGGCCGAGGGGGTCCCGTGGGTGTGGGGGCTGCTGACCGGGCTCCGTCTCTGCGGGTCCCCAGCCACTGCCCCCAAGGGACCCAGCAGGGCGAGGGTGACCCTGTGGTGCTCCCTGCTCACACCCTGCGCTCAGGGGCCCCAGCCCCACAGCCCCACGGCAGGTCACGAGGACCTCCATGCGTGGTCACATGCACACACAGGGCCACCGGGTCCCCCACCCAGGGCCACACAGTGCCACGTCACAACGGTGTGTCCTCTCGTCCGCCACCAACCTCAGACACCTGGATCCACCCGAGCCGGACCCCATTCACACTCGTGTGACCTCACACCCACGAGCCCCTGAGCAAGTGCCCACGGGCGCGCACACTCACACGGTTCCCTGGAGGCTGCATGGGCCTCGGGGAGGCTCGGACTGGGGAGTCTGCCCTGGGGTTTGTCAGACGGAGCCACGGACCTCGCTGGGCCCGTCCAACCCAGGTCACCACAGAGGTGCAGGGTGGCCGTCCCCTGGAACTTAGCCAGCCGTGGGGCCTCTGTGGGCCCTCGCCGGGGACCTGCCTTCTGGAACCAGGTCCGAGGGGGGACTTGGCCTCCCAGTCACAGCCCTGCGGACCCGGCCAGTCCTGGGCAGCGTCCTCAGTGCCACCCCGAGGCTCCTGCCTCTGCCTGGGGACGCGGTGGCTTCCTCAACCCTTGCCCTGTCCAGACTGTATGGGACCCTCCTTTAGGGTTCCATTCCACGTGAGCCCCAAGTCTGTGGAGGGGTGTTACGTTATTTGTTACTATTATTGTCATTTAGTACCAGGGGTTGAGCCCAGGGGCACTTAGCCACATCCCCAGCCTTTTAAATTCAGGTTTATTTGAGGCAGGGTCTTGCTAAGTTGCCGAGGCTTTGAACTGCGATCCTCCTGCCTCAGCCTCCCCAGCTGCGGGGATTACAGGCACGCGCCTGGCTAGGCGTGAGTATCATCCTCCTCATCCTGGAGAAGCGGAGGCCCAGAGAGGTCACGGAAGGCATAACGGCAGCACAGCCTTTCCTCACCCCCAACACACGCGCGTGCACACAAACACACACACGCACACACACTGCTGCCCCTGAGAGCTGTGCAGCCCCCGGGGGTGGGCTGGCTTTTCAGATGAGAACCCAGGCGCCGGCAGCCTGGGAACTGCACCTCCGGGCAACAGGGCCCTGGGCAGAGCCGACAGAGCTCCTGGCCCCAGGCCCTTTGCTGGCTTGTGTGGAGACGTGGGGGTGGGCGAGGGAGGCAGTGGCCCCAGCCTGGTCTCCATCCAGGTGGCTTTCCCCAGCAAGAGCCAAGTCATCAAGGAGAAGAGGAGCCCGTGCTCCCAGTGCGCCGGGGACCACTTACTAGTCTCATGGCCACTTTGCACTCCTGGGCGCTACACGTCCTTCCCGGGGCTGGGCTGCCGCTTGCTGAGCCATTGGTGTTGTTACTCCCAAGGAGGTCGAGGACCACGGGGTGGCGGAGGTCCCGCTCATCGATAAGGACCAGGGGCGTGTGGTTCCAGATGGTCAAGTTCAGGGTGCTGCTGGCGTTGGCCCGGCCTGGCTCGGGGGCCACGATCCTCTCCAGCACGGCCTCCATCAGCTCGTCCAGGTCCTTCAGCAGGTGCTTGACTTTGGAATACCTGGACGGGGAGAGGCCCCGTCGGGTGGGCAAGGGTGCTGAGCAGGGGGACCGGAATCTGGGATCCTCCTGCCCCCCGGCGCAACGCCACCAGGTCAAGAAGGATGTCCTGCCCGAGCGTCCTTCTCTCCACCCACCCACGTGCCTTCCCACAGCCCACTCATTCATTCATTCACTGAGTCTTTAATGAACACCTACTATGTGCCAGGTACTGGTCCCAAAGGGACCGCTTCTCTTTCCCTGTGAAACTCACAGCTAGGCACCAGCATCATCAGTTTGGGGTCACTGATCGCTGGCCACGTGCCAGATGCCAGGTGCTTTCTGTTTTGCCGCATTCTATCATCGTCCCTGCGCAGGGACAAGGGCACCGAGGCTCTGGGACGTGCCGTGATTGATTTCTCACCCCACGGCCAGGCAGCAGAGCCGAGATGGGAACCCGGGGTCGGTGGGCTCCCGTGGGCCAGGGGTTCTGCTCGGAGGGGACAGAGAGGTAGGAGGGGGACAGGGCTGTGACTCGGAGGGTCCTGTTCCTCTAGCAGTGGTGACCAAGGTGCAGAGGGTGGAGGGCCGCGGGGCTGGCTTTAGGACTTTCCTCCGCTCCTGGGGCCTCCCGTGGTGGACGCGGTGCCAGAAATAGCGGGGGGCGTCCTCCCCAGGCCCCATGGAGAGGGGAGGGCCCTGCACCCTGGTCACCCGCATCCATTCACATAGGACCTCGTCATCAGGGTCCCCAGGGCCCTGGGCACCAGCTCTGGCTGGAGGCATCCTGTAGCAGGGTCATCAAGCCCTGGACAAGGTCCACTGTCCTGAGAGAGGGCGCATGGGCCTCAGGCCCCACCGACACCGTGTCTCCCCATCATTCGACCACTGGGCTGCGTCCAGGGTACTCAGGAGGGGGAAGGTGGTGGCATCGCTGTGGCCGACATGTCCACAGCTGCTGTGGAGATTGGTGGTCACTGTGCGGGCTCTGGGTTCAAATCCTGGCTTCTCCCTTAATATCTGCTTGACCCTTGACCAGTAGTAACCTCTCCAAACACCTGTTCTCTGATTGACAGAATGAGGGTATAAACATGTGTAGCTCCGGGAGTTACTGGGGGGCTCAGGAAGTCCATGCAGCAGTGCCCAGATGGAGTGTCCGTGGCTGCCATGATTCTTAAGGGTTCTCCTGAGCAGCTCTAAGGACCCACCCTAGTGGGTGAAGCCCTGTTCGGATGGGACCTCTGACAACTGGAAATGTAATCAGGAGGTGGGAATCCTCTTCTGGGACTTTCTTTGGGATGAGAACATCCTCCATGGCTCTGCCACGTTGGCCCTCCTTTCTATTTCTTGAACACCTGCCTGCCCCAGGGCCCTTGCATATGCACCATGTCAGCCACTTGGGGCACTGTCTCACTTCCTCTTCACTTTTCTGTGACCAGCTGCCTGTCCTCAACCCTGATGAGGTCGATTCTCCCTGCAGGTCCCCTTCAGCAGCCTTGTTGTCAAATAGGGAAGGGGCAATATGTCAGAGCGGTTAAAAAGTGGAATCAGATCAGCCCTGGGTTCTCATCTCACAGTTGCCCACTGTGCATCTCTGGGCAAATTCATGCACCTCTCTGAACCTCCATCTCCTCACCTGCAGATTGGAGCTCGTACATACATAGCGCCTGCCTCTGGGGAAGTGGTGTGGGTCACAATGAGACCAATTCCCCCAAGGACACTGGGCACCATGCCTAGCATACCCCAAGCACTCCCTGGGGAGTTTAAAGTGTCTCCGTCACAATCATAACCAATCCCATCTTGAAACCCGTTGGAGCCCGTCTGCTCTGGTAGGTGGAGAGAGGTGAGGGCTTGATCTGGTCTCTGCCGCCTTCCCAGCGCCCAGAACAGTGCTGGCTCCTCGCGGCTGCCCGGGAAGCCCAGATGCACTGGGCAGACAGACAGACACCGGAGGCGGGAAGCCCGGGAGCGAGGGAAGGGGAAGAGGACGGAGGGGACGCTCCAGGGCCCACCTACTGGAAGGGGCTGGCGTTGCAGAGGGTGACGGCCGGGAAGTCCATGGTCTTGAAGCCCAGGGAGAGGGCCACGCTGACCTCCCAGCCCAGGTAGGTCCTGATGAAGACGCCCCACTGCCAGCACACCAGGCAGGCGAAGAGCAGCGTGAGCAGCAGCCACAGGGCCTTCTTCTTGGGGCCCTCGCAGATGATGCGCTTGGGCCCGTGCGTGTTGGTGTTGTTGCAGTACCACACCAGCAGCTCCTTGTAGCTGTAGCCCGGGCCCTTCTGCAGCCGGTGCAGTCCCTTGAGCAGGTACTTCTTCACGTGCATGGTGGCCCCTGCGGAGACACGGGGGCCGTGGGACACTGCCCTTCCTGCCGTCCTTCCTGCCCTCCATCCCTCCAACCGTCTCACCAAAAAAAAAAAAAAAGCACTTATTGAGCACCTGCTGTATACCAGCCACTAATTGCTCGATGATGAGCAAAACGGAGGTTTCTTGCCGCCGTGGGCATGCACACGCTACTGGACAGGCTACTTCTCAGCTCCTCGGGTGTTCCTTGTGCAAAACAGGGATAGTAATCACGTCAAATTCTATTATTATTATTATTATTATTATTAATTATTATTATTATTATTCTTATTCTTTTGCAGTACTGGGGATTGGATCCAGGACCTCATTCATGCTAGTCAAGTGCACTACCCCTGAGCCGCACCCCCGGCCCCATCCTATCTCATTTAGAGAATCCACCGAGAGGGTGAAATTGGAAGTCGCAGACAAAGTGCCAGCCATCCAGGGGACCCGGCAAAGACCGAGGACTCCACGTGCTCGCTGCCCTGCCCAGTGGCTGGCTGAGGCCAGGATGATGTCAGTGAACCAACTGCATCCAATGGCCAACTTCAGATGGTGACAGGCAGCCTTGGGGCCCTGTCCCCTGAGACCCCAGAGGCAGGAGAGGGCGGCGGTTGGTTAAGCACCAGGTGACGGCATCTGGCTTTGAACCTCTGCTCGGCCGCTCTCTGGCCCTTTGAGCCGATCACCTTCTTGGCAGTCAGTTCCCGGGGCTGTGAAGTCACCGTGACCCTCAACTTCCACCCGACAGGCTGCTGGGAGGCAAGAGCCACCGCGTGGACACCGCCTGGCCGGCCAGTGTCCTGGCCAGGAGGGGGAGGGGCTGCCCAGGTGACGGTCCCTGGGGAAGGGGCCCGGAGCCAGGGCGCGGGCTGGGGGCAGGACGGTGCTGCACGGGCCTCCCTGGCCACACTGGGGACTTGAGATTTGTTGAGGGAGGACTGGGACTTCGGGGGTGTGGGGGGTGAGGTCATCGGGGTTTGGGAAGAACATTCCAGCAGCTTCGCGGATACTGATTGGAATGGGGTGAGGCCGGCTGCCCAGCGTTAGGTGGCCGCTGTGGGTGAGGGAGGAATGCTCCCTGAGACTCCCAACGGCGAGAGGTGACAGGAAGACTGGTGTCACAGGGCCTGGTGGGGGTGGCTTCCCAGGAAACACAATTCCTTCCTGCTCTGTCCCCAGCCTGGAAGCAGGACACTCGAGATGGATTCCCACAGACAACTGAATTCTACCTTCAATGCAGATCAGAGGCCACCGCCTCCAGGGAGCTCTCTGGAGTTCACATGGGAGTGACCCTCACCCCTCCTCAGAAAGCCACTCCAGGCTGGGGACACCATGGCAGGCAGTGTGGCACCTGCTGGCCCAGCATCCTCTCCCCTTTGCTCTGATGTTGCAGGGGGACCCTCCTCCCCCGAGTCTTCCTTGGTGTGACTTGCCGGATGGTTCTCCACTCTAGCTCTGGGGGATGCTCCCGTGATCATTGTTAATATGGACCACCGGGATTTAGTTCCATCACTAAGTTAAAGAAAAAGTCAAGGAAGAGACCTCAACTTTTTTTAGCCAAGACTTCTAAGCCTCCCTGAGAATAAAACCAACACAGGAAAGCAGAGCCACAGAAGAGATTCCTGACAACACCATCTGGATATCTGGATCCAGCCATGCCTGAAAGCAACTTATTCCTGGGATATGGAAACCAATACATTTTCTCTGTGTTCTTATGTCGGCTGATCCAATCTGGGCATCTGTCATTTGCAGTCATTAGAATGTTAACAAAAAAAAGAAATTCACCTGGTTTTACTCTGTTCTTTAGTTATTTGTGCCCATGGCTCCCCCCCCCCCCCATAAGATCACAAACTCACTGAGGACAGCAGTTTTGCATCTTCAACAATGTCCAGCATGGCGCCTGGCAATCCATCAAATAGCTAAATAGATAAAGTCAGGTAACCGTATCCAAACAGGGATTTTTAAACACCCACACATGTTCAGTGCTGGTCTAATTTGGGGACATGGCAACATCTCTGCCCTTTCTTTCCTTGTGGAATGAGATGGGAGTGTTACAGGCTTCCTCTCCAACTCCATGCCTCTGTCCTCTGATGGAAATCCAGCTCCAAGTGCCTCCCCTGGCCATCATGGCTAGAAGATGAACGTTCAGACGCTCCCGCCCCTGCATCTGCTCAGCAGGTCCACTTCCTGCCCTGACATCATAAAATAATAATAATAATAATAATAATAATAATAATAATAATAATAATAATAATTGTCATAGCAACAACTACAAGAGCTACACTGAAGTACTACTCACCACCACACAGGCAACAGGCAAGAGGCTCGGGTCATTTCGTCCTTACACATTATTTTCAACAACTATAAATGGGCACGTGTGGAAAGAACAGGGCTTTGCCAGTCTCATGTAGACAAAAAGCCCGTTTGGTTCCAGCGAGTAGTTTGTGGGAGAGGTAACAAAGGACCTCTCTAAAAAATCCCAACCTTTTCTATTCTCATTTAATAATTCTGACACTTTAAAGGTGACCTTGTTCTTCTGGCTTGTAGATCTGGACTTTTGCTTTAGGTTCAAAATAAAGTAACAAAACCAAGCCCCCCCCCCAAAAAAAAAGTGTATGTGGGGGGTGTGGGGGGCAGATTTAAAGAAATATATTAAGTAAACCATAGTATTACCTGTAGCCAAAGTAGTGACCACGGAAGGTAAATAACTGTTAAATGTTAAACGCAGGCTGAACTTTAACTAGTGTGGTCCCTTGGGTCTTTAGCCAAGTGAAAAAAAGAAATCAACAAACACTACAAACAGCCTCAGATTTCACCTCCAGGTGATAAGGTCTGTGTTTGGAGTGTATACACAGTTGAGTTCAAGGGTTTCAATCAGTTTACAGTTTCAACCAACCCAGCAAAGTGGAAATAGAGTCCCCGTGGGGACCTGGCTGATGGGCAGCCCCTGCCCAAGCCCCAGAGAGTCCCAGACGACTGTCTAGACCTTGGCCATGAACTTGTGAGAGCTTCACTGGCAACAGATTCCGATACAATGTTGCACACAGCAGGGTTTGTTTTCTTAGAAGAGACAAGGACTGCTCCCTTTGGGAAACATTGTTTTTCCTCCCTACAATTTGATAACACAGAGCCCAGAGCTTTGGCCCAAGTATAACTGTATATCTGAGCTTCTTATTTGGACAAAACCCAAAGCAATGCTATTGTAGGGTCAATTTTTATATTCCTCTTGTGCACAAGAGATTGCAACTGGATAACTCAAGACCAAAAATGTTTTATTGGTTGCTACTGTTTGCACAGTATCTATTTATTTATTTATATAATTCCCACTTTTAAATAAAAGCTTCATTAATTTGCAAAGCATATGATTTGCCCATTTAAAGTGTAAAATTTGTATGCTCATGGAGTTGTTCAACTACTGCCACACAATCAAGATTAAAATATTAAGATTTTTTTTTTTTAGTTGTAGATGGGCACAATACCTTGATTTTATTTATTTATTTTATTTTTATTTTAAAAATATTTATTACATATTTTTTTGTTATTAAGTTTTAAATGTCATGTTTTTAAAATATTTATTACATTTTTTTTAGGTGTAAATGCCTTTATTTTTATGTGGTGCTGAGGGTCTCACCCGTGCTAGGAGAGCGCTCTACCGCTGAGCCACAATCCCAGCCCTTATTTATTTATTTTTATATGGTGCTGAGGATGGAACCCAGTGTCTCACACGTGCTAGGCAAGCGCTCTGCCACTGAGCGACAACCCCAGTACCAACATTAAAACATTCTGACGGGTGCAGTGGTGCACACCTGTCATCCCAGAGGCTCAGGAGGCTGAGGCAGGAGGATCGCAAGTTCAAAGCCAGCCTCAGCAAAAGTGAGGTGCTGAGAAACTCAGTGAGACTCTGTCTCTAAATAAAACACAAAATAGGGCTGGGGATGGGGCTCCATGGTTGAATGTCCCCTGAGGTCAATCCCTGGTAACCAAAAAAAAAAAAAAAAAAATTCTTTCCTTCCCCCAAGACACTTCTCACATCTCATTTATCCACTCATCGGGTGATGGGAATTCGGGCTGCTTCTGCTCTGGGGCTATTCTGATAATACCTCCCTGGACGCTCACAGGAGAGTTTTTGTGTGGACACGTTTCTGTTTCTCTCCAGTGTTTACCTAGGGGTGGATATACCCATGGTCTGTCCTGCAATTCCATGCTGAACCTTTTGAGGAATTGCCAGTCTTTTCTGAAATGATGGTACTATTTTACAGCCATGTACCAGGCTTCCAATTCCTCCAGATCCTTGATGATGCTTTTGTTATTTTTATCTGTTTTTTTTTTTTTTTTTGAGAAAATTATTACATTCATCTTTGTGGGTGTGAACTGGTATCTGACCATAGTTTTGATGGGGCTTTTCTTGATAGCGAATGATGTTGAACATCTTTCCATGTGATTACTGTCATTCTGTCAATTGCATGGTCATATATCATCTCTGGAGAAGTGTCAATTCAGATCCTTGGCAGATTTTTAAATTGGATTTTGTGTCCTTTTGTTATTGGGTTCTAAGTGACACACACATATATATATATTCTGTATACAAGACCCTTATCAGACATAGGATTTGCAAAAATTTTCTTGCATTCTGTGTATTGTCTTATCACTTTCATGATGAAGTCCTTTGAAGCACAATGGATTTTGATGATTCTCAATTTGTCTATATTTGCCTTCTTTTTCTTTTGGTGGTCCTGGGGATCTAACCTAGGGTCCAGTGCATGCTAGGCAAGTACTTGGCCACTGAGCTACATCCTGATCCTTTTTTTTAAATTTGGAGACAGGGTCTTGATAGATTGCTATGTCCTTGTTAAGTGGGAGAAAGAGGCTGGCCTCCATCTTGTGATCCTCCTCCTTCAGCCTCCTGAGCTGCTGAGATTACATCTGTGAACCACTGTGCTCAGCTATATATTTTTTGTTGCTTGTGCTTTTGTGTCCTGCTGAGGATCTATTGCCAAGGTCATGGAGGTTTATTCCTATGTTTATTCTAACAGTTTTATAGTTCTGGCTCTTACATTTACGTCTTTGGTTCATTTGGAATTCATTTGCATGCTGTGGGACGCAGGGGCTCAACTTTATTTATTTATTTATTTATTTGCCCGTAGACACCCACTTTCCCCAGCAAGAATATTCTTGGCCCCATTTAGTTTGCACCTTTAGTTTTT